AACACTGTTGAAGAGGAAGGTCTTTAGGCGTGATCTAAAAAAGGGGGAGGAGGCACGAGGGAGAGATTGAGGGTGAGAGTTCCAAAGTTTAGGGGCCAGCGGTGGAGCAGAGGGGACGTGTGACAAGCAGGAAGCCAGAGCCAGCCGAGGTGGGACAGCGGGTAGTGCGATAACTCTTTCAAAGAGACCCAACAGGGACGCCAGGTTGAAGAGCCTCTCTGCTGTAGGATTCTTAACACTAAACTAAATCCAGAGTGAATCGAGATCTGTTCTGCTTCCTCCGTTTCTTCGCTCACAAGGAAAATGTGGCTCAGCTCCCAGATTCTGCTGTATAAATGAATCCAAGTACAACCAGAACTTGAAGCCAAGCAATACAAGTTGGGAAAAACTCAAGGGTTGAGCTGTTGGGTTTGGGTTCGTTCCCACTTTGGATTGGGAAGGAATTTTTAATAATAGCAAATGATCCCAACATTTCTCCATGTCTGAGTACGGCTAAAATCAAAACATCACAAAGGGTTTGCTGTCAAGTGCTTTGACTAAATTTGTGAGCAAACAAGAACAACTTGGATTTATATAACGCCCTCCACGCTGGACGGCGTCTCAGAGCGCTTTACAATAATGGATCCCAGGGCGAGCCAGGGGGAGGGGGAAGAAGGTGACCAAAGGCGCGGTCGAAGAGAAAGGTCTTCAGCAGAGACCTGAAAATAGGGAGGGAGCGAGGCGAAGGGAGTGAGGAAGGGAGTTCCAGAGCCTTGGGGCATAGTGCCTGAAAGCACGGGCACCGAGGGTGGAGCGGAGGACTCGGGGGACGAGGAGGCCAGACCCAGAGGAACCCTGGAGCCTGGACTCCAGAGCAGTGCTGGGGGTGAGTGCTGTATTTTCAGAGGTACTGTGCTTTGGATGAGATGCTAAAACCGAGGTCCCATCTGACTGTTCAAGTGGACGTTCAAGATCCCTTGGGGCTATTTGAGAAGAGAAGGGAGTTTTTCCTAGTGTCCCGACCCACAATACCCCAGATAAAAATTAAGTCACTCACTTCATGGCTGTTTGTGGTATGTTGCTGTGTGTAAATCAACTCTTGCGTTTGCCTTTAAAATTCACTACACTTCACAGTAAAGTCTTGGACACTGGAAGCGTTTTGAAATATTTTGACATTATAGGCGCTATATCAACTGCTAGGATTATTATTATTATTATTAAAAATATACCTTTCATTCCCCACAATACAGTGAGTGAATGCAGACTGCATTGCTTAAAGAGAGACATTTGAATATAAAACATGAAGGATTGGACTTGATGGAAGATTTCATTTGAAAAGAGCTCCAGACCTCCAGTTATTTTGGAGTCCCTCATTATTTCGTATCACGAGGGAGAAGGCAATAGAGTGGAATGGGAGAGGGGAATGAAGAGGTGGGCAGGAGGGGCGGGGGCGGTATAAACACTGACATGGACTAACTGGGCCAAATGGCTTGTTTGGGTGCTGTATCATTCTGTGTACGTCTATGTTGTGTGACTGTAAGGCGGGTAACCCTGGCGGCTAACCTGGATTAGCAACATTCCACAAACAGTAATCAGATGAACGGATGATTATTCTGTTGATGTGGATGAAAAACTGGCTACTAAAGGGGGGAAATTCCAGTTGGCTTTGGAGATGTTCAGTTAACAGCTATCAACGGCTCACATCGCCTAAGAACCGACACATGGAAGTAATGTCAGCCCCGTGCAGTCAGTTTGTGTCTAAAATGGCCTGATTCAGCACGATCTGCCTGACCACCACTGTGAAGGCAACCTGTCAACCATTCTTCCCCACTCTCTGGAACTATACACAAATCCCTCTGCCTCGATGCCTCCTTCCACATCTTTAAGGCTCGCCTTAAGATTTACCCCTTTGACTTGCTTTTGGTCAACTTCCCATCCTCCCCCCACCCCATCTTTAGTTACCCCCTTGCCCCTCCCACCATGCTCAAATGTGAAGAGCTTTCAGACATCCTCCCACCACGAATATGAATGTAAACTGTATTATGTGAGATCTGTGGAAAAGACAATTCAGTTATACAACAATACAGTTTATATTTATTTCCAATTGGAAGCTTTGTTTCTTTTCCTTTAAGAACTGTGGGGGAAAAGAAAAAAGCTTCCAAAACTAAGACTGAATTTAAGAGTTTTTCCTAAGCATCTCAAAATTATAAGGCAAAGCAACTACTGCAACCTAAAACTAGACTGAATTTCAGGCTTCCAGAGAACGCCCGGCTCTTTCAAATACTGAACTATTGCGGTGGGGGGGGCGGAGGTAGTGGGCCGCACGCACATACTCTATACAAAATGTGCCCACACAAAGTTCCCCCCACCCCACTTCATGCTCTTCCCTCGCAAACACAGAGTTAGCAGTTCAGAGCTGACACTGATCAAGTGCAATGAAAAGACCACCTTATTGTACCCTCTGAAACCTCTGCCACACGCTTCCCTTGAGCGCCTTAACATCAAGGGGAGGGGGGAATTTTCATTTGTGGGGGGGGCGGGGGGCGGGGAGTGGGAAGGGAAGACATGTATATAAACACGAGGAAACACAAGCAGCCTTGGTAGCAGGAAAAATATCGTAAGTACATTAAAGATATCGCAAGGTAAATATTTACACCATCTGAAGTGGAGGAGTGGACAGTCTCTCTCTCTCTCTCTCTTTCAGTTGACGAGTCCGATCCCAGTAACATATGGGGGGAGGCTGCACGGAGGCTGTCACTGAGATTATGGTCCTCCCCCTCATTCAGGGGCAGCCTTAGGATCTCAAGGGATCAGCTAGGAAAGTTGAAACTATAATAACTTTCAATGGGGAATTAGATGTTTATTTGAAAAGAAAACATTTGCAAGGCTCTGGAGTAAGAGAGGGGGCGTGGGACTCATTGGTAGCTCTTTCAAAGAGACTCAACATTATTTTTGCAAATTTGTTTTTGTGTATTTAGTTATTTTTTTTGCTTGAGGTAGGACTGGGCGTGGGGGGGGGGGGGGGGGGGAGTGTTTGAAGAAAGGGCTGGGTTCAAAGCAAAATGGTCAGGTTTCATGGGGTGGGGGTGTTATCAAGGTGTGTGTGTGTGTGTGTGAGAAGAGGTCGATTTAGTGAGATGTTAGACATGAATCGTGTTGGATGTTCTCTGGATGTATAGGAGATAAACCCCTGCCCCCACCCTCTCCCTCTCCAGCTCTACTCAATGGCAACATCCGTGAAGCCGGGCGATGGACTCAAATGGCCAAGTATTTGTCAGGGTGTCCCTGTGAGAGCAGAGAGTGTCCGCAGCCTCCTAGCCCTATTGAAGCTTTGTTCTGTGAAAGACAAGGCAACTCCCCCTAAAGCAGGTTCCGCTAAGACGAGGTGCAGCTCAAGACTTTCTCTGTCACTCGAGCGAGAGAGCATCGATTGACCGCTGGGTGGAGGGAGGAGTTAGAGGGGGGACAGTGAGGGTGGGGGGAGGTGGGAGCGAAATGGCATTTTCACAGAAACATATAAGTGCACGCACAGAATTAGTTCTTGAGACAATCCTCTCCGGCCTGACAGCCGGGAAAGCACAAACTCTGAAAAATTCAAACTCTTGTGTAAAAAAGTGAGGCAATTGTTGCCGTTTAAAAGTGAAGTAAAAAAAATTCCCGAAGGCAGCGAGTCCCCATTAAATTGGCTCAATGATTTTCAGAGGGAATTACCTGCCAACAAGCCCCAGGCAGAAATAACCGGAAAGCTGGCGTTCCAATGGCCCGGTGAGCACCAAGTTCCAACATCAAGCCCTTGGGGGCAGTGAATGACCATCAAGGTTTGCACCCAATCATCTTAAGACTTGGGTTTATACAAATCCATGTCACAGTTGCTTCCAAAAAACAGGCTCAATTGTTAACGAACATTGGGAATCAGTATATAGTTTGGGACAAGATGTGTGCATGCAGGATCATGGAAGGCAAAGTGGATGTTCCTTGGTCTTCTTTCGACTAACAATTTTTATGCTCTTATGTTCAAGCGGAGAGAGTTCTCAAACAAGATTCACCACGAGTCACCAAGCCCTGGGATTACACAATAAAAATACAGCTCTGGTTTTGAAGGTCTTTGGTAGTTCGCAAGATCCATTTGGGGGAAGGAGACCCTTTGGTCCATTTAATTCTATCCTCCCAGGACACCCGAACGACCATCCTCCCATCATGGCAACTTGAGCTGGTTCTTGAATGAGTTCCAATGTCCAGGCCTCAATCACTGCTTCCTGGTACTGTAACTCCATTTTATTCCTCTGCGTAAAGAAATACTTCCCGGTGGCTGTCTGTCTGTCTTGTAATTAGCTCTGCACAGCCCTTAACTTGCTGGAAGTCTCTGCTATAAATGAGGGCTTGGGATAAGCTTCAGAGTGGCTGAGACACATCTTTGAGGGGGCAATTTTAGGTTATTGCTATCTCTCCCTACCTTCCTCAAACAGATCCCTCGATTCTGGTTCCTTTTTAGTCCAAGCCTTCACCTCACCCCCTCCCAAACACCAGCAGGAAAATGTGAAGGACAAGGGGTCCACCTAAATAATTGCTGGTTGGGGGGTTCCTGGATTGTTGTCTACTGAGGAGCTCTAGACTTCATTAGTGACCCTGCCATCTCACCTCATCCAGAACTCCCTGGTTTGCAATAAAATAATCATTCTCTTCATTCGGGGGTGGGGGGGGAAACATCCTTAATGTTTCTCACTCACAATCCCAAAGTGGTTGGGTTGTAACACACGTTTACATAAAGTCACAGAGAGCACGGAAACAGGCCATTCAGCCCAAGTAGTCCATGCCGGTGTTTATACTCCATACAAAACCCCCTCCTATTCACCCTCTACAATACCACTCTATTCGCCCACAAAACACACAGTCACTCCACTTTACAGTGAATCCTGTGAAGCGCTTTGATATGTCCTCCTGATGTGAAAGGCGCTTGAACCAAATTTAAGGATTGTTATTAATCCCATCCTCCTCATATATACATCAAGTTTTCTCTTTCGTATTACTTGATCCTCTCTCTCTCTCTCTTCCCCCTTTTAGCGATACATGGAGAGGGGAGTTTAGAAGTGCTTTTACGCTCTACCTAGTGTTATCAGAACGTGGAATGCCTTATGAGAAGTGTTTCTTGAAATTGATACACCGAAAGGGAAACTGATAAACACTTGAAAGAGTAAAAAATTGGTGAGGGAGGGGGTTGAGGAATAGGATTAATGTACAGAGTTGGAAGAGTGACAACAGAGCAGACACGCTGGTCTTAACCACCTCGTGCTGATGCTGCCCTTTGACAACACTCTACCTTTCGCTACACTTAATGGGGTGGAGGGGAGGGCTTCACCCAGGTGGCTATTTCCTCTCTCAGGGAGCAAGGAAATAATTCCAAGAATTAATTTCCACAGCCACATTCCCCCCCCATCTCCCATTTCCTTCTCCCCCACCACCCTCCTAGCAAACCACGAGGGAGGAGTGGAGACGGTGGGTCCCATCACTGGCACTGGTGACGTGTCTGGTCTGGAAGCACGTTGCTCCTCACAGCCTTGTGTCAAAGCTGCCGTCTTTAAGAGGCTCAGTTAACGGTTCCCTTTCTCTTCTTGTCCCTGGAGAACACAACCAGGGGCCGATCGGGTCCCTCCCGCGGGGTCCTCTTCCAGCGAGGAACCCAACCCGCCCGCTATCACCAATTCCTTCGTCTCCGTACCTTATACCAGGGGAGTATCAGCTCAATGCGACGAGTCAAGGTAAAATGTGGTCACCTCCAGCCCACCATAACCCATGGCGATTGGCATTGGTGGTGAGTTCTGGCTTGAGTTTCAGAGGCCAAAAGTGCTTTGGTTTGTACGGTACACAGCACCCTCTCGTCCGTACACAAGTGACTCATGGTAGGGTGGAAGGTGGGCTTCGATGACTGGGCAGACGCTCCGATACGTCGTCCGGCCTCCGCTGCCCTCTTACGCTCCCGGGGGAAACAGACGGGGAAAAAAATTGAAAAGGGAAAATCCATTTCACTTGCGCTCCCCAAGGTCGCTGGGACCAGCGAGAGCTACACTAAGTTATCAGTGGGCCCGAGGCCTCCCTGCTCCGGGTTACTCTGGAGCACGGGTGTATTACACAGCGGGCAAACCTTCCTCACCTCCAGCCACTTGATCAGACATCTGGGACGGTACCGAGAGAGAGAGAGAGAGAGAGAGAGGGGAAATAGATTTAGTACAAAGAACAAAAACAACTTGTATTGATATTGCACCCTATGTAGGATAGCGTCCCCGAGCACTTCACACTGGCCTATAGCTACAGGTGTGAAAGATTTTTGTTAGGTAAGGGTATCAAACGATATGGGGCAAAGGCAGGTAATTGGAGTTGAGCTGGGGGCGCGAGGAGGGTGAGATAGAGGGGTAGAGGGAGGGAGTCCTGGAAGGTTAGGGCTGTACAACAACAACAATAACAACAGCAACCTTACATATCAGGAGGACGTCCCAAGGCGCTGGACAAGTTAGGGTTTGCACTCAAGCTGGGGGTTGGAATCAAGAGGGGTGAAGGGTAGGGGGGAGTGGGGGTGGGAGTGTGGCTGAAGTGGGGGTGGGGTGGGGGCAGTAAAGCTAAAGGCCCGACCTCCGATGGGTCTAAAGGCAGCCAGTGACACCAGCCACATTTGCGACTTACTTTCTGTGGAAAGCATGTTTGCATGGGCAGATCCCAAGCTCATCCTTGGTCTTGAACTCCTCCAAACAAACAGCACAGATCTGCCGGAAGAAAGCACCAAGTCAGCGCCAGTTAGTTGGCTTGGACACAGATTGACGAGAATGGAAGCGGGGGAGGGGCGGGCCACGCTCGGCCCATCGAGCCCGGCAATGGAACAACTCAATCTTAACGATATTTAATCCTTACATCTGACACAGTGTATTTCACATCAAGAGATAGGATTTCCTGTGAAGAGCAGTGATTGTGTAATCTTTTGCCAGTGGTTGCCCAAGGCGATCTTACAATAATCCTTTCATTTGATGCAGTGCCATATCACGTCGTTGAGACATCTCAAAGCGCTTCATAGGATATACTGTCAAGTGGTTGACTGTGTATTTTGTGGGCAAAATGCAGCAGCTAATTGGCACAGCAATGTCCCCAAAACAGTGAGTGAGTGACCAATTTTACTTAGGGGATGGTTGGCCGGGACATTGGGAGAAGCTCCCTTCTCTTTTCAAATAGCGCCATGGTATCTTTAATGCCCACCTGAACAGGCGGAGAGGACCTTGGTTAAATGTCTCATCCAAAGGATGGCACCTCTGACAAAGCAACACATTTCCAAAGACAATTCCTCCCCCCACAAATCCCGACAGGATTGGATCTGGGCTGTGGCTCACAGGCCTGCAGGCTGGATAGGCTGAATACTTCTCTTTGTATTCTTTTCTCTATGATTTTATGGACCCAAACCTTTGTTTAATGTAGTTTATCTTCACTCCCTTGAATAGGGGAGACTTGCTGGAGTTGGTCCAATCTACTCTTAGAGGGTTTGGGAAGTTTGCATTCAGGTGAACTTTCCTGCCTTGTAGGAAAAGAATGGTAAAATTGAGATCAAAATGAGAACGGGAAGCAGGTGAGAATATCGTTTCAGTAAGAGTGGGAAACAATACACTACAAATTTACATTGATCCAGCCCATCACGTCAGAAGGATGTTCTGGGTTCTCTTGCTTGCGAGGCGAGCGCGCTAACCACTATGCTACAAGACTGCAATCCATGCCAATATGGATTCTGAACAGCTGATGTGCACGAGGCTAGATTATCTGATTTCGTTCACATCAAGCCCGCATGGTAGGTTTGTTTGTAGCCTGTTTGGAACCCTGGTTGCATATTTGACACCAAGCTGTCATTCCAGAGATGTGTTTGTGGATGGCAGCCAAAGGCAGAAAGTTCACTTTCCTATAAATAGGAACTGAGCGCATGGTGTGCTGAAAGCCAGGCTGCACCGACCTCAAATCTGACCTCCCACCATCCGTCCACCCTTCCACCCCCACCACATACACACACATGCAGCCCGGTCAAAGCAAATTACATTGGAATGCAAACCCCGAGATGCTTGCCAGTGATTGCCAGCGACTGTGTAGTCTGATGGTATCTGAGAACTGAAGAGCAGTAACATCAGCTCCCACCCACTCTCATGACCACCCCAATTCCCTCCCCTTCTTCACTTTTCCAGACCCTGTGTCAAATTACGACCAAACTCCTCCTTCTCCCAGCATCCCTTCCCTCTCTCCCAATCCTCTCTCATCCTCTCACCATCAACCCTCCAACTAACCCTTCCCTCCACAACCATCTACCTCTCCCCCAAACATCAAGGATTCCCCTATACACCTAGGAACACAGGAATTGTTAGATGAAAAAAGACCAAGGTTCACTTTTTGGAAACCCATCACCATGCTTAAAAATATCCAAATCAGCTGAGATTTCCATGCATCTGACCTACACATGGAAATCCAGAGATAGATTGTTGGAATGGAATGCACTCTCTCTCCCGGAGAAACACATCTTGATTACATAATTCCGCAAAGCATTAGTCACAGGTTGGCAAGAGCCAAGGCTTGGGGTCCCCAGTGTGTGTGTTGGGGTAACTGCTGGAGTCTAACCAGCTAAAACTGCAAAGCTTGTCGTACACATGCTTGCTCTCTACACATAAGAATGTAGGAATTGCTAGACTAAAAAAGACCAAGGTCCATCTAGGTCGCCGTCTACCATCTGGTAGTTGCTTGCTACAATAACAGAGATGTTGAGAGCAATTAATTCTGTATGGATTAGTCTACTATCACAGTGGAAAGCTTCGATTCAAAGTTACCTGGTTCTTCCAAGCCATACTACAACTTACTATATGTCGTGCCTCAAATTACTCCTATGCTGTATCCCAAAATATTATTTTCCAAAAGAAATCTATCTAATTTGTATTTGAATGAATCGACACTTTCTGCTTCCACTGTCTCCCTGGGCAGCCTGTTCCACAGATTAACCACTTACAATTGCAGAGTTACAAAGCCGTGTCTGTGTTGATTCTCAACATGTGACTGCATAGAGGAAGCCTGGAACAGATAGTTAACCCGCGCTGTGTACGACACACGAGCATATGTCAGTCAACGAGAATTAACAACAAAGCTTAAGCATCCCCAAATAAACAGACAAACAACTCAGCAGCGTGCTAAGGACCATTGCAATGGACAATGTGCTGACTGTGGACAGGGCAGCCCCTCATAGGGAATAGGAAGGATTTGATCATCAACTCTGACTGGCTCGTCGGCAGGACTTGGAGGGGCAGAAAGGATTCTTTCCACTCGGCTCTGATTAACTCTGCAAGCCAAAGCTTTAACCCATGGGATAGGTCTAGCTGGTCAAGTAGTGGGTAGCCCAACCGTGCTCTCAATGGCAAGCTATATGGTTTTAGCTGGTTAGTCTCCAGCAATTATCCTAACAAGCACTCTGGGCTCCCCAAGCCTTTGCTCTTGCCAACCCGCACCTAATATTGTCCTGAATGAGGTAAGCAGGGTGCATCCTTTTGGGGAGAGAGTGTGCATTCCATTCCAGACACAGGGAAATTTCCATGTGTAGGTTTCATACATATGTGGAGCTCTCAGTTTAGTGAGGATACTCTTAAGCACGGTGATGGGCTTCTGCATGTGTCAGTCACCAAAACAAAATCAACTCTTCCTACTCTTCATTTCTGACAGACTGACTGATAGACAAATGTACAAGACACACACACAGCTGACTACCACCTCCTCTCTCTCTCTCTGTCTCACACACACAGCCACAGCCCATCTCTGACTCACATAAACATACACTTACAGAATGTTCGTTAGGGTAACTGCTGGAGTCTAACCAACTAAAACTGTATAGCTGCCATTGAGAGCACGGTCAGGCTACCCACTACTTGACCAGCTAGATCTATCCTATGGGGTAAAGCTTTGGCTTGCAGGGTTAATCGGAGCCGAGTGGAAAGAATCCTTACAGAGCCATGCACACTTACAAAGCCATGCACACATACACACTTATAAAGCCACACACACACATGTACAAACAACAACAACAAGATTACATTTGTATAGCGCCTTTCACGTCAGCAGGACGTCCCAAGGTGCTGGACAGCGTACAACATTTCAGACCCGAGCTGGGGTTAGGGGGGAGAGGGGAGGGGAAAGGGGGTGACCAATGGCATGGTCGAGCAGGAGGGTTTTGAGGCGGGACTTGAAGGCGGCTAAGGAGGGGGCGAGGTGGAGTGGTTGGGGGATGGAGTTCCAGAGATTGGGGGCAGAGTGGCTGAAGGCTCTCCCGCCAATGGTGAGGTGGGTGGGTTGGGGGACGTGCAGCAGGCCAGAGCCGGCTGAACGGAGGGAGCGGGCGGGTTGGTAGGGGGTTAGGAGGTCACATAGGTAGGGTGGGGCCAGACTATTGAGGGCCTTGTAGGTGAGGACCAGGATCTTAAACTGGATCCTCTGAAGGATAGGGAGCCAATGCAGTCGGGTGAGAGTGGGGGAGATGGGGTCGGGAGTTTGGTGCGGGAGAGGACACGGGCTGCAGAGTTCTGTATTATCTGCAGCCTGTGGAGGGAGGAGTTGGGAAGGCCGACAAGCAGGGCATTTGCAGAGTCGAGCCTGGAGGTGATGAAGGCATGAACAAAGCCATGCACACGCACACACACTTACAAAACCACACACGCGCACGCACACACACACACTTACAAAGCCACGCACACACACACACTTACAAAGCCACGCGTGTGCACACACACACACTTACAAAGCCACGCACACACACACACTTACAAAGCCACACACGCACACACACACACACACTTACAAAGCCACACACATACACTTACAAAGTCACATATACACACACACACACACTTACAAAGCCACGCAAGTGCACACACACTTACAAAGCCACGCACACACTTACAAGGCCACACACATACACTTACAAACCCACATATACACACACACACAATCACACACAGCTATCACCTCTCACACACAGCTGCCCCCCTCTCTCTCACCACACACATGCCTCCCTTAGGCAGAACATTCCTCTCGCGCTGAAATCATCAAGAAACGTCTGTATAAATAGGCCAGCTCGCCTCTGAACAGACCAAGAAGTAAACACATGGAATGGCTCCATTTACTGCAGTGTCTTTCCTTACCAAACCCAACCAGAGCCAAGAAGCAGACACATGACAACCACACACTCCAGCCCAACTCAGCCCTAGGGCTTATTGAGAAAGATTTTATTTGGCCACACTCAGGGAGATCCTGTGATAGCTTGCCTCAGTTTCCAGCACTCTTGCCTCAAGATTAGCAGGTTGTGGGTTCAGGCCGCATGTCAGAACCTGAACTCACTTAGCTAAGATGACCCTCCAGTGCAGTATGGGGGGGGGCTGCATTGATGGAGATGTTAAACTGAGGTCTCGTCTGTCTGTTCAGATGGATGTTATCAAGATCCCATGACACTATTCGAAAAAAGAACAACAAGCTTGCACTTATATTGCGCTGGCCACACAGAGCAGCGTCTCAGAGCGCTTAACAGTGGCGGAGCCTGACGCCAAGCTGGGGGGGAAGATGGCTGCAAGTACTGTCGAAGAGGAAGGTTTTTAGGTGGGACTTGAAAAAGGGGAGAGAGGGAGCAAGACGGAGGGTCTGAGGGAGACCATTCCTGAGTTTTGGAGCGTAGTCGCTAAAAGCGCGACCTCCAATGGTGGGGTGGAGTGTGCGAGGGATGAGCATGAGGCCGGTGCCAGTTGAGTGGAGTGAGGAGGTCGGAGAGGTAGGGAGGTGCCAGGGAGTGAATGGATTTGAACACGAGAGTGAGGATCTTGAAGTCGATCCGTTTGATGATCCTGGCCAGAACTGGTGAGATGGGGGTAGGCAGTTTTGTCCAGGTCAGTATGCGGGCGGCAGAGTTCTGAATGAACTGGATCTTTTGAATAGTGGAGCTGGGGAGACCAGCGAGGAGTGCGTTTGAGTAATCAACAACAAGAACAACAACTTGCACTTATATAGCGCCCACCACGTAGGGTAGTGTCTCAGAGCGCTTAACAGTGGGGTAGCCTGACTCTGAGCCAGTGGAAGTTGACAAGAAGGGAGTTTCACCCAGTTCTCAGATAAAATTGGTCACTGTTTGAGGAAATTGCTGTGTGCAAATTGGCTACCACTTTTGCCTACAAAGTACAGTTACTACACAGTAAATCTAGTGAAGCACGTTGTGAGTGCTTTTCATGTTAGGAGCACGTCTCAAAGTATTTCACACAGGATATATTGTAAAGTGGAGAGACTGTGTATTTTGTAGGCGAACTCAGTGGACAATTTTCATTCAGTAATGTCCCACAAACAGCTGTGAAGTGAGTGACAAGTTTTGTATCTGTGGGATCGTTGGTTTGGATATGAAGCAGACTGACACCTTTCCCTGCACATATGAAAGAAACCGGCTTCCAAAAGTAAGAGTGAATTCAATACACTCCTGATAACTCGTCACTCCAGAGGAAAAGGGCTCAGTGATGAGTTATCTGGAGTGGCGAGTTAGGCATATGTATAAATACATAAATAAATGCATCCAGGAGATTGCTAGCATGATGACTTAAGGGGTAGAAATAAGTTAAGGGTTGAATTATCAGAAGTTTACGATATAAGAATTTGCCAAAGTTCTGCTTTGTCTCACATTTTCGCCCACAAAATATGCAGTCAATTCACTTTACAGTATAATATGTGAAGCGCTTTGAGGCTCTGACTGACATGATAAGGCACTATGTCAAATGCAAGCAATATTATATTTTTGTCTGGAGCAAATGGTGCTAAGAGGCTAAAGCACAGCGGAGTTTCAGGGTTTCGGGCTTGGTACCAGCCTGAAGGGGTGGGCAGTCCACATAGAGGGGTTGGGGTGGGGGACATGGCAATGGCAAAGCTCATTTGGCTTACAGTGGAATGACTTGGACACAAGTCTGGGATTTAATTGTCCACGTGGGTGAAAGGGAGATGGTTAGAAGCAGGTGTTGGCTTTGAGAAGTTGACTACGGATGTGAATTTGAACTGGTCGTGCTCCAAACTGCAGCAAGCAGTGTCCGCTGACCTTACTCTCACTAGTGAGTGTGTGTGTAGCTTCCAGAATGTGCGTCATTCACGCACATGGAGCCCCACAAATAGCTCAGTCAGTAAGGGGATCTCTCTTCCCTCCTTTAATTCCCTCTTGATATTTAAATCCATGACAAAGGAAACAGTTGCAAGTTCAACAACCCTTCGCTGACCGCCCGGAGGGATCGAGCTCCACCAAATGCTGGGAACCAGACGTAACCGGCCCTAGTTATGAGGCTGCATGGTTGGCATTCCACATCCAACTCCCAGCAAAAGAGAGGCTCTTGAAAACAATAATAATAATAATCCTTGCATTTGTGCCCACAAAATATGCGTCATCTCAAAGCACTTCACAGAATATACCGTAAAGTAAATTGACTGTATATTGTGGGCGAGTGGTTGCACCCGAGTTGGGGGTTGGAATCAAGAGAGGTGGAAAGTTGGGGAAGGGGTGGGAAAATGACTAAAGCGGTCAAAGAGGAAGGTCTTGAGACAGGCATTGAAGGAGGCAAGTGAGGGAGCGAGGCAGAGGGGCTACGTACGGGATGGAGTTCCAGAGGTTGGGGGCAGAATGGCTGAAGGCGTGACTGCAGATGGTGGGATCGGCAGGGAGCGGGACATGGTGCAGGCGGTAAAGGTTTAGTAGGTCGTAGAGGTATGGAGGAGCAATACCGTGGAGGGCTTTAATGATGTAACTAATTTTAATAATGATTTTAAGTTCACCCTTTGAGATGCAGAAGCATGGAAGAGGGAAGGGCACTTTTCAACAATTTGAGGGTAGAGAGGGGTGAGGTGAAGCGGTGATTAAAAGTCAGAGTAAGGTGGAGTTAGGGAGACACTTACCTCATGTAAGTTCAGCTCCTTTACTTTCTCTTTCACAATGACCTGACAAACATAGAGAAAGGCAGCATGTTAGGTTGGTCTCAATGGCATTTCCAGGTCCACGTCAGAGGTATTATTGTACGCCAGTTGCTAAATTTCTCAAAGTGGATACTGTAAAGTGGATTGACTGTATATTTTGTGAGAGAAACACGGCAGCAAATTTGCGCACAGAAATGTCCCACAAACAGTCGTGGATTGAGTGACCAAATTTTTTTTAAAAAGGGTTTATTACGCCTGTAAATGTTATCCTATGTGTAGGGTGCTGTACAAGATACAAGTTGTTGTTGTTCAGTCTCTTACCTGTTTATACGCGTAGAGCTCCTTGTGAGCTTGATGCCGTAACCTGCGCAGACAAGACAAACAAACAGGTTGGTCATCTTCATCCTCACAAGACCGACACAGAGTAAAAGTCCTTCTGTTCTGCATGTCCCTCGTGCCTGCCACTCCACCATTGGCGTCCGAGCTTTCAGCCACTACCCCCCGAGACTCTGCAACTCTTTGCCTCAATCCCTCATCTTTGCCCATCTTCAGATGGCACTTGAAGACCTTCATTTTCGACCGTGCCTACGGTCACCTGCACTATCTCTTCCCAGCTCAGTGTCACTGTTAAGCATTCTGAGACACTACCTTGTGTGAAGAGTGCTGTATAAATGCAAGTTGTTGTTGCTATTGGAAGCTTTGAGACACCGGGTTTGGTCTACAGAATGATAGAATCTTACAGCACAGAAGGAGGCCATTTGGCCTGTGCCGGGTCTTTGAAAGAGCTACCAACTAGTCCAATTCCCTTGCTCTTTCCCCATAACCCTACAAAAGTAGCTTTCCTTCTCAAGTAAATATCCATTTCCCTTTTGAAACTTATTATTGAATCTGTCTCCACTATCCTTTCAGGTAATGCATTCCAGACCATAACAACTCTCCGTGTAAAAACATGTTTCCTCATCTCCCTTCTGGCTCTCTAAATCGGAAGGATTTGGCAACATGAAGCAGAGGACCCTCCCGGCTCCTATAACACAGAGCATTTCGATATCTCAATCCTTTCCCAAATGGACTGAAATGTCCTGATTAATATTAGCAGCTGGCCGACCCACATTAGATTCGGCATATTTTTAATTCTTACAACTGATGTTTTTCGCTCGTCGCCTCGCTCTTATTCTGAAGAAACGAGACAGCAACTCTGCGTGAATCTATGGCAGCTCGGGAATCCCTTCTCCAATGCCAGTCTCGGGAGCCTGGTCTCCTTCCTCCGTCCACCTACTCTTGGATCATCTGATCAATCGATCCCTCAAGGGGACAGCTCAGAGGTAACTGGTGACTGACCTGGAGGTGGAGCTTATCATTAGATATCGGGGAGTCCGGAGAGTGTACTTGTGACTAAATAGGTATACAAACATCCTCAGAACGCTTCATGCTGTCAATGGTATCCTTTCTCTTAAGAAAAACCTGCTGATTGTGACTACACAACACTCTATCAACTCCACCCAACACTCCCTATCCGAGACGAACCCAGTCGATTTGTTGTCATTGTGAGGGGTGAGAGGTATGTAAGTATGAGTGTATGTCTATGTGTGTGTGTGTGTTTGCGTATGTAATAAAAATAATCCTTGCATTTGATATAGTACCTTATCACGTTGTTGAGACATAGGAACAGGAGTAGACCATTTAGCCCCTCAAGCCTGTTGCGCCATTCTATAAGATCACAGCTGATCTGTACCTCAAGTCCAATCACTTGCCCTTTTTCCTATATCCCTTGACACCCTGACCTAACACCCTCAACCTTCTAAGATCAAGGGAATAGAGACCAAGTTTATGCAACGTGTCCACACAATTTAACCCTTTAAGCTCTGTACCATTCTGGTGAATCTGCACTGCACCCCCTCCAGAACTAATATATCCTCCCTGAGGTGTGGTGCCCAAAACTGGACGCAGTTTTCCAGATGGGGTCTGACCAAGGCTCTATATAGTTGAAGCATCATTTCCTCGCCTTTATATTCCAACCCCTTGAGATAAAGACCAACATCCCATCAGCTTTTTTGATAACTGTTTGTACTTGTGAGCTTGCTTTTAGCGATTTGTGTACATGGACACCCAAATCCCTTTACTCTTCCACAGTTCTTAGTTTCTCCCCTATTCACCTTAGTTTCTCATCTCATCTCATAGTTTCTCATCTTTCAGAGACGTCTCAAAGCGCTTCACAGAATACACTGTGAAGTGAATTGACTGTATAGTTTGTGGGTGAAGCGTGCCAGCTAATTGCCCACAGCAGTGTCCCACAAACAATCATGGATTGAGTGACCAAATTATAATTTTTTTTGAAGGGTTTATTGCTTCCAGAAAGTGATCCACCAAACGACTAGCAATTGAATTCCTATGTACTTACTGCTAGGTAAACAGGCGTGTGGAGTAAGGAAACATGCCTAAGGTTTCGGTCTGCCTGGCAATCGATGATCTCAAGTTTCCCCTATGTTCAATGGTCTGACCCCATTCCCCCACTTCTCCCCACTGTGTATGTGTGGTGAGGAGCAGGGGCACTGGCTGATTCTACTAATGGGGGAGGGGCAGCAGGGGTTTGGGAGGGAATTAAAATAATAACAATCCTTACATTTGATACTGCACCTTTCACATCAGGAGGACATCTCAAAGTGCTTCATAGGATTTACTGTGAAGTGCATTGACTATTTCTTGTAGGATGCAAAATACGGGCAGCCCAATTTGCACAGAGCAGTGTCTCACAAACAGCCAGTGAAGTGAAAGACCAATTTTATCTGGGTTATTGTTAGCCACGATCCTGGGAGAGAGAAACTCCCTTCTCTTTTCAAGTAGCGCCATGGGAATCCTTATCATCCACCTGAACAGGCAGACAGATCTCGGTTTAATGTCTCATTCAAAGGATGACACCGTCTCGACAACACAATTCTCACCCCAGCACTGTACTGGAGTACCAGTTAGGAATACGTGCTCAAAGCGCTGATGTAGGGTTTGAACCCACAACCTTCTGACTCAGAGGTGAGAGTGTTACCAACTGAGCCAGGCTGACACCTAATCACTATCGAGTCCTCAAGGCCCCAATTCTTTAGTATGCAACACATGGTACGGTCACAGGCCAACAATTACAAACTTTAGCACAACATGACCACTGTTTACTTTCACCCATCTCGGGAAGCACTGTTGGCCCAAAATAAACAGGTATGAAGGCTGCCTCCAACTTACCTTACGCTCTGGGTAATGTGAGAGGCTATGAGTGCAGTGTGGGCAGTATGAGGAGTGTTTGACTGACACTGACACATTGCAGCATGTAGTCTGAGGCGTTGCCATGAGACCACAACCCACGTGTCAGCCAGGTTCAGTCAGCAGCACTCTCGCCTCCGAGGCAGAAAATCATGGGTTTGAGCCCCAAGTCGGGACTTTGAACTCACACTGGGCTGGATTGTCAGAGGTGCCGTCCTTTTAATGAGACAGCAAACTTAGGTCCTGTTCAGGTGGATCTTAAAGATCCATAAAAGACATTAAAAGACATGGTGCTACTTGAATAGAGAAGGGAGATTCTCTCTCCCGGTGTCCTAGCCAACAATCCCCCAAATAAAGTTGGTCACTCCCTCCGTGGCTGTTTGTGAGACATTGACTGCGCAAATTGGCAGCTGCATTTGCCTTCAAAACACAGTTACTTACACTACACTTCACAGTAAAATCCTGTGAAGTGCTGTGAGACGTCCTCCTGATGTGAAAGGCACTGTATCCAATGGAAGAATTATTATTATAAACATGTGATAAAACAATGGAATAATTACGCTGAATGTGTGTCACGCAGCCTGGCCAACCAAAAGGCTTCGGGATTGAAGAGACAAACGAGTTTCATCATTTAACCCAATTTCCGCTCATACAATTGTTTTATTCTGTGAAACTCATGAACAGGCTGCAATGCCACTTAGCGAGGAGATCACTCTCCAGTAGCTGAATAAAATACTGGAGTCCTCACCTTGCAAGAGAGAGAAACTGGGTTTGATTCCCAGGCGGGGTGAAACCTTAGGCAAATTTCCGTACTCTACGCACCTCTGTTTACTTAGCAGTAAGTAGGTTTAACTTGCAATAAGTCACCCACCAAATACAGTCAACTCACTTTACAATTTGAGACGTCTCAACAATGTGATTAAGTGTTACATCAAATGCAAGGATCATTATTATTATTATTATTAAACCTTTCACTTCACACTGTGGGCTGGTGACTGACCCTGGGTGGGGGAGGAGTGGGTATCGTAAGAAAAAGATAGCAACCTGTCTCATGGCTGAACACCTTTGGCCTCTGTTCTCTCTCCTCTTTGTCGTTCTCGCTCCCCGCAGCTAAATACTTAGCAGTGGTGTTTTATGCGTTACACAAATGTTCGGATCCTTTGGGATATAATAATCCTTGCATTTGATATAGAGCTTTATCATATTGTAGAGACGTCTCAAAGTGCGTCACAGACTATACTGTAAAGTGATTGGGTGACCAAATTATTACATATATATTTTTTGAGGGGATTATTACTCCCAGAAAGTGATCCAACAATCGACTAACGGCCAGGTTCCTACTTACTGCTTGGTAAACAGAGGAGTGTGGAGTGAGGAAACTTGCCTAACGTTTCTCTCTGCCTGGGAACTGAACCAACATCCTTTCGCTTGCGAAGCAATCGCGATAACCAATAGCTATGGGACATTTTTTCTCCCTCCCCCACTGTCCCATCTCCACTCACGTTTAAAGTTAAGAACAGAGAGGTGAAACTGTTTGATCTGCTGCTTTATCATGTTGAAATCTCTCAAAGCTCTTTACACAATAACTTGCTTTGAAATGTGGCGATTGCAACGTGGGCAAACGTGATGGCTAATCAGCACCAGCCAAGGCCCACACAGGTCAATGAGTGGATCAGTCAATTAATGGTCCTCATTACCTTTGTGAAGCACTTTGAAATGTTAATATTAATAATAATAATAATTCTTGCATTTGATATAGCCCCTTATACCGTCGTTGAGACGTCTCAAAGCGCTTCACATAATATACTGTAAAGTGAATTGACTGTATATTTTGTGGGTGAAACATGGCAGCCAATTGCGCACAGCAGCGTCCAACAAACAGTCGTGGATTGAATGACCGAATTGTTAGTTAGTTAGTTAGTTAGTTAGTTAGTTATTTTGGGGTGGGGGAGGGATTATTACCCCAGAAAAGCAATCCACCAATCGACTAACAACCAGTTTCCGATTTACCACTAGATAAACTTGCCTAAGATTTTGCTCAGCCTGGGAATCGAACCCAGGTCCTCTCGCTTGCGAGGCGAGTGCTCTAACCAATATGCTGCAGGACTCCACAAATGTTATCCTGTGTGAAAGATGCAATCAAAGTGCATGTTATTGTTAAGCAATTTTTGTGGGTAAGTCTGGATGATGTAGGATTATTGGCCAGAACACTGGAAGCAATTCCTGTTTGTAGGTTCAAGCCCCACGTCGGGACTTTGAGCACACAATCTCAGATAACACTCCAATGCAATGCTGGGGGTGTAGTGTATCGTTAGAGGTGATGTCCTTCGGATGAATTTGCCTATTCAACTGGATGTCAACGATCCCATGGCACTATTCGAAAAGAGAAGGGAGTGTCTCCCAGCATGGAGTGGTTGGGCCTAATGGCCTCTTTCTGTGCCATGTCATTCTATGTAATTTTCCCGGTTTCCTGGCTGAGATAAAACTGATCACTCACTCCTCGGCTGTTTGTGGGACATTGCTGTGCGCAAAATAAATGCCATATTAGCCTAAAAAATGAACTGTTACTCGACTTTGCTGTAACAATAACAGCATTCATTTAGTGTCCTTCACATGATATAGCATTTCGGAGAGCTTAACAGTGGTGGATCTTGACGCCGAACCATAGGGAGGTTGGAGGTGATCGTAAACATAATCTTGAGGAACGTCTTGAGGCATGATGTGAAACTGGGGAAGGAGGGGGCAAGGCAGTGGGATTGATGGAGAGGTCCAAAGCTTTGGGGTGAAGTGGCTGAAAGCACAGCCACTGCTCGTAGAATGAAAGGGACGAGGGACAAGAAGGAGGCGAAAGCCTGCCGAGTGGAGGCAGCGGGTGGCAGAGGGTTAAGTAACTAGGTCAGAAGATGACAGGGCTTAAAGAAATTTTTAGAATATTTTATTATTATTATTAACAACAACAAAATAACAAACAACAAAACTACATTTGTATAGAAGAGGAGGGTCTTGAGATAGGTCTTGAAGGAGGCAAGGGAGGGGGCGAGGCAGAGGGACTGTGGGATGGAATTCCAGAAGGTGGGGCAGAGTGGCAGAAGGCCCACCTGCCAATGGTGGGGTGGGCAAGGCAGGGGATGTGAAGCAGGCGGAGGGAGTGGGTAGGATGGTAGGGAGTTAGGAGGTCACAGAGGTAAGGGGGAGCAAGACCATAGAGGGCTTTGAAAGTGAGGACCAAGATCTTGAATTGTATCCTCTGTTTGAAGCCAGTGGAGTCGGGTGAGGATGGGGGTGAAGGGTTCACAGAGCCTGGTGCAGAAGAGGACCTGGGCTGCAGAGTTCTGGATGATCTGCAGCCTATGGAGGGAGGAGTTGGTGAGGCCGACAAGCAGGGAGTGTGCGTAGTCGAGCGTGGATATTATGAAAGCATGCATGAGAGTCTCGGTGGCTTGTGATGTCAGACAGTGGCGGAGCCGGGTGATGTTGCGGAGTTGGAGAAAGGCGGAGTGGGTCATGGCACGGGTGTGGGATATGAAAGACAGTTGAGGGTCAAACAGGGCACTGAAGTTCCAGACTGGCTCCGTGAGATGCAGAGTGCATCCATGGATGGTGATGCTGTCAGTGCCTGAGGTGTGGAGGCACTGACGGGAGCCAATCAGGAGAGCCTTGGTCTTATTGACATTCAACTGCAGGAAGTTAGCTCTCATCCAGGACTTGATGTCTGACAGACATTCTGTCAGGACAGCAGTGGTCCTGGAGTCAAGGGTGGAGGCAGAGAGGTAGAGTTGGGTGTCATCTGCATACATGTGGAAGTTGACCCCATGTCTGTGGATGATGTCACCAAGAGGGAGCATATAGGTATTGAAGAGGAGGGGACCAAGGACAGAGCCCTGAGGTACACCGCACATGATGGTGCAGGGGCTACAGGAGAAGCCGTTAATGGTGACAAAGTGGAGACGGTGGGATAGGTAGGATTCGAACCAGGCACGGACAGGTCCGCAAAGATTGAGTTGAGAGGAGAGCTGGTGCAGGAGGATAGAGTGGTCAACAATGTCGAAGGCAGCAAAGAGGTTGAGGAGGACAAGGAGGTAGAGGGAGCCGTGGTCGCAGATGTTCAGAATGTTGTTAGTGACTTTGACCAGGGCCTCTTCTGGGCTGTGGGCAGCACGGAAACCTGATTGAAGAGGTTCAGAGAGGGAATGGCGGGTGAAGAAAGAGTGAAGGTGGGGACATAATGACTTGTTCCAGGGCCTTGGAGAGGAATGGGAGGTTGGAGATGGGGTGAAAGCTAGAGAGTAGGGATGGGTCCAGGGAAGGTTTTTGAGGATGGGGGTGATGACAGCTGTTTTTAGGGGTGTGAATCAATCCACTTTACAATTTTAGGGAGGTGAACAGTGCCAGTGGATAAGGAGAGGTTGATAATGTTGGTTAAATGAGGGGCCAGGAGGTGGAGCTGGGAGGTGAGGAGAGAGGTGGGGATGGGGTCGAGGGAGCAGGTGGTGGGCTTCATTTTTAAAGTGATGAGGTGAGGGAAGAGGGGGAGACAGGGTCGAAGCTGTATAGGGAGGGATGGGTGTGGGCCGGGGCGTGGGGGGGAGGTGGCGAAGGGGTAGAGGTGGACGGGGAGAGACAGCTGAACAAATCGCCTTGATTTTGTAGTCCAACATTTCCAGTGAAATTGGAGGAGAGGGTAGGCTGGGGAGAGGGAAGCTGGGGGGAGGAGGTAGTTAGTGGTGGAGAAGAGGAGCCTGGGATTGTCTTTGGCCTCCAAGATTATCCTGGAATAAAAGGGTGATTTGACGGAGGCGAGGGTGGAGAGGTAAATCTTGATGTGGTGGGGCTTGATTGATTCTCTGTTCCTGAAGACAGCCACACAGACCCCCACCCCTTCTCTCCCCACATCCTCTCTCTCCCTCCATCCCCTATCTGCCTCCATTCCTTCTCTCCCTCTTTCCACTCTCTCCCCCCATCCCCTCTCTGCCCCCATCCCCTCTCTCCTCCTCCCCTCACCTGATCAGGTAGCAGCAGAAGAGCAAGCTGAGGATGAAAACAAAGATAGCTGTCCCGAAGACCACAATGTAGATATTGAGCGGGAGGTTTTGAAACCCTATGTTTGGCATCTTGAAGTTGTCCTTGTTGAGATTCGTGTTCACGGGCAACCTAAAGCAGAGAGAGAGAGAGAGAGAGGTCAGTGTTTGCTCTGGTTGCATGAGCAGTCAGTGCTTGGGTGTCAGCCTGGCTCAGTGGTAGCACTCTCACCTCTGAATCAGAAGGTTGTGGGTTCCAGCCCCACTTCTGAACTTTAAACTCCTATAGTCCAGCCTGACATGCCAATGCAACTGAGACGTTAAAGCAAATTCCCAACTGTGTCTGTTCAGCTGCATGTTAAAGATTCCCCGTGGCACTGTTCAAAAAGAGAAGGGAGTTTTCCCTCTCCCGGTGTCCTGGTCAATATTCCCCCAAATAAATGTAATCATTCACTTCACGCTGGTTTGTGGGACATTATTATGGGCAAAATAGCTGCTTTTTGCAACTCCAATCAGAGAATCCCTCCCCAGAGACTCTCCTTCATTCTTTCCCACTATTAAAGTAATAATCAATAATAATCTAAGAATATACTGTAAAGTGAATGACTGTATACGTTGTGGGTGAAACCCAGCAGCAATTGCGCACAATGGTGTCCCTCAAATAGTTGTGGACTGAGTGACCAAATTTTAATTTTTAAAGTCTGTCCTACCCAGTGTGATTCAGTTGGGCAATACAGTTACACACTAAGAAAATACACAGTCACTACACTTTACAGTAAAATTATGTGAAGTGCTTTGAGAGGTCCACTGTTGCAAAAGTAAGGATCATGATCAATTTTTTGTGGAAAATTGGCTAAAACGTCATCCATTTATACTTATGCCTTGGGTGATTCATACTCAGAACCTCAACTGCAACAACTTGTATTTAGACAGTGCCCTTCACGTGGGGGTAGCGTCTCGGAGCGTTTAAAACTTCCTGCAGCCTCTAAACTAAAGGTGACATCATCCGCAGACATGGGGTTAACTTCCACTGTATGCGGATGACACCCTTTCCTCCTCTACCCTCAACTCCACGACCACCGATGTCCTGACAGTCTGCCTGTCCGACATCGAGTCCTGGACGAGAGACAACTTTCTTCAGCTCAACGTGAGTAAAACTGAGGCCCTCCTGATTGGCTCACGTCAGCGCCTCCGCACCTCAGGCGCTGACACCATCAGCATCCAAGGCTGCACTCTCCACCTCTCAAAGCCGCTCAGGAACCTCGGGGTTCTGTTCGACCCTGAGCTGTCCTTTCTCCCTCATATCTGCGCCACAACAGGCACCGCCTTCCATCACCTCCGGAATATCGCCAGACTACGGCACTACCTCACCCCTCACGCTGCTGAAACCCTGGTCCACGCCTTTATCACCTCAAGGCTGGACTATGGGAACTCTCTCCTCGCCGGCCTTCCCGGCACCTCCCTCCACAAGCTGCAGGTCATTCAGAGCTCTGCAGCTCGTGTACTGTCCCGCACCAGACTTCGCGACCACATCACTCCCACCCTCGCTCGCCTCCACTGGCTCCCCATCCCCCAGAGGATCGAATTCAAGATCCTCATCCTCACCTACAAGGCCATTCACGGCCTCGCTCCCTCCTACCTCTCCAACCTACTATCCCCCTACCTACCTGCCCGTACCCTCCGTTCCTCTGGCTCCGGACTGCTCCACATCCCCCGCCCCAACCGCCCTACCATCGGTGGCCGGGCCTTCAGCCTCTCAGCCCCTAAGCTCTGGAACTCTATCCCGCAGTGCCTTCGCCGCTTCCTCCCTTTCCTCCTTCAAGGCCGGTCTCAAGACCTTGACTGTCGCGTTTCGCCCACAAAATACGCAGTCACTACACTTTACAATATATTCTGTGAAGCGCTTTGAGATGTCTCAAAGATGTGATAAGGCGCTATATCAAATGCAAGGAATTTTATTGTTATGAGAAACGTGGAGATAAGTGCCTCAGAAAGGCAATAAAGAGAACGGAAGTAAGACGGGGTGGAGGGGGTGCGGGGAAATGAGGACGGGGATGGGAGGGAATGGGGGTGGCATTTCCAAAACCTCACCAACTAGGATGCGGTCTGGGTGGTTTATTGCGAACTGTGTCGTGCCAGTGGTCAAACATCGGTGAACAAAGAGCCTGAACAGAAGTCAAATCACAGTCAGTTAGGGTGACGAGAAACTGAGAGAGAGCCTGGCAACAGGCCAGCAGTAATATTCCCGCAAGTCCCACCTTCTCTTCAGCAAGTTCACTGCAATGGCACTTTTGGTTTCAGTGTTACTTATTTTAATAATAAGACTTTAGGTATAAAGCTTTATCACACCATCAAGACTTGGCAAAGAGCTGCACCGCAATTTTTGTAAAGTAATAATCATAATAACAATCCTTGCATTTGATAGAGCACCTTATCACATCCTTGAGGTGTCTCAAAACTCCTCACAGGATACTAGTGTAAACTGCAATGCCTGTGTTTTGTGAGCAAAATGCGGCAGCCAGTTGTGCACAGCAGTGTCTCACAAACTGCCATAGAGTGAGTGACCAATTTTATTTGGGGGATTGTTGGCACCCGGAAAGAGAAATTCCCTTCTCTTTTCGAATAATATTATGGCATCATTAACATCCACCTAAACAGACAGACAAGTCTGTTACTTGGTGTAACACCTCCTCCGAAGGATGTCACCTCCGACAATGCAACACCATCCTAGCACTCCATTTCTCTTTTGGTTCCCCAGTCAGTATCTTATATTTGCGTCCCCTGAGTAGAGAATCTCAAACCAGTGTTAACAGCCTGTTTACCCTTTTATAATTTCAAACACCTGTATTTGGTCCCCTATTAAACATCAATTGAGTGAAAAAGGCCTAACTTATTCAGTCTATTCTATAGCAGTAACCTGCCAGCCCTGATATCAAACCTACGCTGTACTCTTTTCATTGTGCTATATCCTTCTTGTAGTGTGGAGACTAGAATTTAGACACCCATACTCTAAATATGGTCTAACCAAGGTTTTATCTGAATTCAACCTCCTCACAGAAAAATCTTGTGTTGTCCCTGGGTTTATTCAGTGCTATGCGTCATGCCATGCATCACCTTAGGATGTCGTCCTGACGGGAAAGGCGCTATGTAAGAGCAATTTGTTGTTATCATCAATTCCAGACACTGGTGATAAATGACACTTAACCCAACACTGTGTGACATTGTGCAATCTCCTCTCATTCACAGTCGTGTAACCACATGCACTTTGCCCTGTGTTACACACATAGAAACTTGGAAAATTCTCAGCACAGAAGGAGGCTGTTCAGCCCACTTGGTCTGTGCCAACATAACACATTGTTATGGCATTAATCTCTGGGTGAGACATTGGTTGGGCCGAATGGCCTGTTTCCGTGCCGTACAGTCTATTGTCCTTCTTCCCATGTCATTGTGAAATGCTCTGACACGTTATCCTACATGAAGGGCGCCTGTAGAGTCCTGTAGCTTATTGGTTAGAGCACTTGCCTGGCAAACGAGAACCCGGGTTCAGTTCCCAGGTAGGGCGAAACTTTAGGCAAGTTTTCTTACTCTTTCTCTTTAACCGAGCCTTCAGCTCCCCTCTCGACTCTCTTCCCCCTCCTCGCTCCCTCCCTTCCCTCCCCTCACCCTGACCATTTCCCCCCTCCTCGCTCCCTCCCTTCCCTCACCCTGACCATTTCCCCCCTGCTCGGGTCATGACCCAACTGTGCAGCGCCTTGGGACGTCCTCCTGACGTGAAAGGCGCTTTATAAATTGAATCTTGTTGTTGTTGTTACTCAGCATGCCGCTGTTTACCGAGCAGTAAGTAGGAACCCGGTTGTTAGTCAATTGGTGGATCTCTTTCCGGAGGTAATAATCCCTCCAAAAATAAAAACAATTTGGTCACTCAATCCACAACTGTTTGTGGACACTGCTGTGCGTAATTGGCTGCCACGTTTTGCCCACAAAATATAAAGAATACACTTTACAGTATATTCTGTGAAGCGCTTTGAGATGTCTCGACGACATGATAAGGCACTACATCAGATGTAAGGATTATTATTATTACAAATACAAGATGTTGTTACCCCATGTCCCTGAATATTTTTTACTGATCAGGTTCTTATCCAGTCCCCTTCTGAACTATTCTTTTCATCCAGTCTCAATAGCCACTTGTGACGACTCAAACAACTCTCTGAGCGAAGAAATTCCTCCCAAATTCTGTTAATAATCCCGAGACTATGCCCTAGTCGTTGATTCTGCAGTTCAAAACACTCTCCCTCTCTCCAGACACCCGCTTAGGAGAAGCCGAGAACTATGGACATGTCACCTGCAAAATGTTAGATGGATCCCTGGAAAAAGCAGCCTCCAAGGTAGTGAGTAAACTGTCCCACACCCATCACCGTGCTTCGAGAAAATTATAGTGTCAGTGTGCGGGGTAACCCAGTAAACCTCAGTGTCCAAAGTAATGCAGCGTGTCCTGCCTGAAGGGTCCGTGTAAATATAAGCTGTTGTTTTCCTGTATCCCTGAATATTTTTGTTTATCCAGGCCTCTACTCAACTATTATTTTGATCCACTCTCAACAGCCACTTGTGAAGATTTGAGAGTAACTCTCACTGTCCCAGACTAACACAGTACATAAAAACATAAGAATTGTTAGATGAAAGAAAACCAAGGTCCATCCAGTTCGCCTTCCAGCATCCTGCCAGTCGGGTGTACATGTTATGCTCCCAAACTATATCCTGTATCCTGAGGTATTATTTCCTAATAGAAATTTATCAGTGAATCTTGGAATGTCAGTAAGCTTCAGTGTCTGGAGTAACACAGTTATGTCTCTGGGTCCTGGAGTAATGCAATAAGTGCTAGGGCCCACAGTAACACAGTTAGTCAGCACTGAACATTGACAAGATGTTGCTTCAAACAACTTGGCATTGCCAACCCCCCCCCACACACACACTCATCCCTCAACACTACCCCCCTACCTCACACAACAGTCACAGAATCCAGCATATGTTTGCTTGAAGCAGCCTTGTCTCAGGACTCCACAATAAACCTCCTGGTCCCTCCTTTGCTTTCTGTCTACCTCTCTCCATCTCAGGCCGGAATCTGTCACGTCACTTGTTTAACCAGTGTAGACATTCGCTCAGTTCTTTAACTCCTTGAGAGCTGGATTTGCAATGTAACTTTCTAAGACTAGGAAGAATTCCTCTGCCCTCATTTTACTGTACCTGGGCACAGTAGCGATACTCAGGCAAAGATTAGGGCTACGGCAAATGAGAGAGAGAGAAGAGGGAGAGAGAGAGATGCAGAGAATGTCAGGGAGGGAGAGAGAGAGAGAGAAACAGACAGATAGACAGACAGAAAGAAAAAAAGGAAGGAAGGAAAAAAATTGAGTGAGAGAAAAAGGGAAATGTATAAATGCAATTTATTGTTGTTGTTTCTATTGTTAGAGAGGGTCAGAAATAAAGTGAGGGAGAGAGAGAGATAACAAACGGAAAGAGAAAGCGAGAAATAAAGGAAGTGAGAGTGAGAGAGCGAGAAAATTAGTGAGATAGGGAGAGAGAGGATTTCTCACACTCACTGCTGTCGGCTGCTAGTTTGCCTAAGCTGCACGGTTTCTGACACTCAATGTCCACAAACAGCCATGTAGTGAATGACCAACTGTATCTGGGTGATTCTTGGCCACGACACCAGAAGAAATTCCCTTCTCTTTTTTTGAATGGTGCCATGTGATCTAACATTCACCTGAATAGGCGACGGAGCTTTAGTTTAAACACCGGACGAACCTGCCACCACCCCAGCAATCTGTGAGCGCCTGCTGGCTTCCTGCTTGACCTGGCAACCATTTTGTAGCGGGTTCCGTGACAACAACAACTTGCATTTATATATTTTGCTTTTCACACAGGATAGCGTCTTGTGGAGGGTTGTACAGTGACAGGGTAGGGCACTGAGCAAGAGAGAAGGTAGAAGGGATCATAGGGACGTAGGATTTAAGGATGGATAAAGAGGGGGTGAGGTAGAGGGATAGTCAGTCCCAGAGGTCAGGGAGGCTGAAGTGGGGTGAGATGTGGCCAGCTCAGCTCCATACGTCAGTGGATGAACTGCACTCACAATTCTCAGTGTAGGCTGAAGCTTGGGAGTGGGTTAGTCAAATGGCCTGCCTCTCAGCGGAGCAAAGGTAGCACCTTGAAAGATGGTGAGGTAAATGGATTGAACAGAGCAAATCTCCCCCTCCCAATGCCTGACAACTGTGAAAAGCATTGTACTGTTGTGGGTTCAAGCCTCGCCTTGGGAATTGGAACTCATTTAGACCTTTGGCACAATTTGAAAACAGAAGGAAGTTTTTTCCCCATGTTCTGGCCAACAATCCCCCAAATAAACTTGGTCAGTCACTTCAGTGGAGGCTTAGCCTAGACTATATGAGTTCAAACTCCCCACCCATCTCTTGGCACAATTGCCTGCATTTATCAATACCTCTCTCCTTGTCTCACTTTTAAAGCCCTCCACGGTCTTGGCTCTCCCTACCTCTGAACTCTCAAAAACCTTACCAACAAGCCCTCACCCTCCGTTCAGTAGGCACTGGCCTGCCCCATGTCCCCCACCCTCGTCGGTTGGGCCTTTCTCCTTTCTACCGCCACCTTCGGGTACTGCATCAGGAGCCCCTTACGCTCACCTCCTTCAAGATCCATCACAAGACGTTTCCCTTTGACTGCGCTTTCGGTCGTCTGCCCCACACCTCCATCGCCAACTTCCTTGGCCTCCACCCGTCTCAAATACCACCTCCAGCTCTGGTACAAATACTCAACTGCCCAATGACTTTGGATGTCCTCTCAACGTATATCAGTTATTATTGTGGTCAAACCCACAATCTTCTGACCCAAGAGGCGAGAGTGCTCACGACTGAGGCGAACTGATTGGTAATCTAGAAGTGCATCACACAGTACTTGGGACGTCTTCCCGACATGAAAGGCGCTATACAAATACAACTTTGTTGTTGTTGTGATCTACTTCAGCCCAGACTTTGAACTCAAAGCTCTGCCCACTCGCACACTCTCTCCTTCAAAACCTTCCTTTGTTAGAGGTTAATCCACAAGCTTCTGAGCCAGAGGCAAGAGCACGACTGAGATGTTTTGGACTGGAGGACTTTAAAAGTCTTTAAAAGACTTTAAAACTGCTGGGGAGTAAGGGGTTAAGGAGCTCTGGGCCGTTACATTTGGTTGAACTTTCATAAAAGAATTACAGAAACTGCTTTGCAAAAGTATGGTCGCACGTCGTTCTCATGGCTTCGGGGGGGAAATAAAAAAAATAAAATCAATCATTTGTTTCGTGGCTGTTTGTGGGGGACATTGCTGTGCGTGAATCGATTCGCCTACAGAATACACAGTCACTACTGTTTACAGTAAATCCTGGGAAACGCTTTGAGACGTCCTCCTGTCTTGAAAGGTGCTGTATCAAATGCACAGGACACATAGGAGTGTGTGTGTGTCTGTGTGTTTGTGTGGTGGAACTCTGCAACACTTTTTCTCTATCCCTCCTCCTTGCCCCTCCTTCCCCATCATCAGGTCGTGTCTGAAAACCTTTGTCTTCGATCGTGTTTACAGTCACCTGGCTCTGGCTCAGCGCTGTGCTCCGCCACTGTCAAGAGCTCTGGGACGCTATCCTGCGTGAGGAGCTCTGTATAAGTGCAAGTCGATGTTGTGGTGGGAGGGGACATGAGGTCTGTATTTGTTGCAGGGCCAGTTCCAAAGCACACAAGCCTGCTGTGTGTGGCCTTTCGGCTGTTCGAGGGTCAAGCCATGGCTCAGGCTAAACCGGGGCCTGCACTCCGTCTGACGTCCCCTCTGTGAACCCGTACCTCTCTGTCCTTTCCTCTTTTGCTGAGTTAATTAAAGTCTTCAGACAGGAATTTACAGATTAATGTTTATTTAAGAAAGGCTTTGGCATAGTTTGGTTCAAAGTGCATCCAGCTTTACTGGAACTACACAACAGTGGGGGGGTGGAAACAGGAGGAGGGAGGGAGGGGAGATAGGCCACGAGTGAGTTATTGTGTGAGGCAGGTCATTGTCATGTAAGCACCAGCCTCACCAATACTCACGTTAGCTGGTTAGTGGGGTTCAATGACCACTGGTTCAACAGCTCAGCCTGGCTGAGTCTGTACCACTCTCACCTCTGGATCATAAGATTATGGTTTCAAGCCCCTTTAAGCTCACAGTCTAGCCTGACATTCCAGTGCTGTGCTGGGGGGAACACTGCAGTGTTGGAGATATCGTGCTTCAGATGAGATGTTAAACCGAGGTCTTGTCTGTCTGTTCAGGTGGATAATAATAATAATAATCCTTGCATTTGATATAGCGCCTTATCACGTCTTCATGACAACTCAAAGCGCTTCACAGAATATACTGTAAAGTGAATTGGCTGTATATTTTGTGGCCAAAACAGGGCAGCCAATTGTGCACAGCAGTGTCCCACAGACAGTTGTGAATTGAGTGTCCAATTTATTATTATTATTTTTTTTAAAGGAATTATTACCCCCGGAAAAGTAGTCCACCAATCAACTAACAACCGAGTTCCGACTTACTGCTTGGTAAAAACAGGCTTGTGGAGTAAGGAAACATGCCTAATGGAATCGACACAGGTCATTTGCTTGTGAGGCGAGTGCTCTAACCACTGAGCTACAGGACTCCACAACAGGATGTTAAAGGTACTGTGAAAGTTCTATTTGGAAAAGGGAATCTTTCCTGGTGTCCTGGCCAACAATCCTCCAGATAAAATGTACATTCTCCTCCTGACTACTTGTGGGGCATTGGTGTGGACAAATTAGCTGCTGCATTCACCAACAAATATACAGTCACTACCATTTTACAGAAAGGACTTTACAGAAGTGGATCAAAATAACATTTATGAATGTATGTAAAAGCACACATCTCTCATGCACCCCTCCCTCTCTCAAACCTCTCTCTGACATCCCTATCTCTCTCTCTGACACCTCTCTCTCTCCCTCTGATACCTCTATCTCTCTCTCTGACACCCCTCTTTCTCTGAGCCGATAAGCAGAGCAGCGGAGACAAAACCTGCTCCCGGATCCCCTATATCCTATCCACGAGCTTGAACATCAACAACATCACGGCGACGAGACAATCCTATATACACCTCGTTCCGACCAGCTCCAAACGTGTGGGAGCTGCCTCACCTCCAGCCAATCCCAGCCCAGCATTCCCATCGCAGTCCAGTCCGCAGAAGAAAACAGTGTAAAGCCTGAGAGCTCAAACACCAAGCAGGAAATAGACCACGTGCTGTGGGAGGATACTGCAACAATAGTCACTAAATCAAAACTTGGCCCCCTGTCAGACCAACTCGTACAGATTTAGGACAAAGTCGTTTCCCCATCAGACCTGTTCCACGGCTCACACATCTCACCCTCCCCTAAGCATGCCTTTCACTCCATATACCTTTGTATTCCTACTCCTGGAGTAAATGTGGAGTCCTGTAATGTGGTTAGTGCACTCGCCTTGCGAGAGGACCTGGGTTCGATTCCCGGGCAAGTCTGCCCAGTGTTAGTCAACATCAGGCTGCTTAAAATCAGTCATCTCAATTTATTATAAATAAATTAATTGTGGTTTTCACCCACAAAATATACAGTATATTCTGTGAAGCGCTTTGAGACGTCTCGAAGATGTGATAAGGTGTTACATCAAATATAAAGATTATTATTAGATCTGGTAAAGAGTCTTTCACATCAGGTGGATGTTTCAAGACTCTTCACAGAATATGCCATAAAGTGTAGTGACTGTGTATTTTGCAGGCAAACGCAGAAGCTGAATTTGCACACAGCAATGTCCTGCAAGCAGCAAGGAGTCAGTGACCAATTTTATTTGAAGCAGAAATTCGAATTCAAGATCCTCATCCTTACCTACAAGGCCATTCACGGCCTTGCTCCCTCCTACCTCTCTGACCTACTATCCCCCTACCTACCTGCCCATACCCTCCGTTCCTCTGGCTCCAGACTGCTCCACATCCCCCGCCCCAACCGCCCTACCATCGGTGGCCGGGCCTTCAGCCTCTCAGCCCCGAGGCTCTGGAACTCTATCCCGCAGTGACTTCGCCGCCTCCTCCTTTCCTCCTTCAAGGCCGGTCTCAAGACCTTGACTGTCGCGTTTCGCCCACAAAATACGCAGTCACTACACTTTACAATATATTCTGTGAAGCGCTTTGAGATGTCTCAAAGATGTGATAAGGCGCTATATCAAATGCAAGGAATTTTATTGTTATGAGAAACGTGGAGATAAGTGCCTCAGAAAGGCAATAAAGAGAACGGAAGTAAGACGGGGTGGAGGGGGTGCGGGGAAATGAGGACGGGGATGGGAGGGAATGGGGGTGGCATTTCCAAATTCTCACCAACTAGGATGCGGTCTGGGTGGTTTATTGCGAACTGTGTCGTGCCAGTGGTCAAACATCGGTGAACAAAGAGCCTGAACAGAAGTCAAATCACAGTCAGTTAGGGTGACGAGAAACTGAGAGAGAGCCTGGCAACAGGCCAGCAGTAAAATTCCCGCAAGTCCCACCTTCTCTTCAGCAAGTTCACTGCAATGGCACCTTTGGTTTCAGTGTTACTTATTGTAATAATAAGCCTTTAGGTATAAAGCTTTATCACACCATCAAGACTTGGCAAAGAGCTGCACCGCAATTTTTGTAAAGTAATAATCATAATAACAATCCTTGCATTTGATAGAGCACCTTATCACATCCTTGAGTGTCTCAAAACTCCTCACAGGATACTAGTGTAAACTGCACTGCCTGTGTTTTGTGAGCAAAATGCGGCAGCCAGTTGTGCACAGCAGTGTCTCAC